AAGTTAATCTGAAGCTCAGCTGATTAGCTAATATATTATTAATATTCCTCATTTACATAATATTTTCATATGTGAAGCATTAGGCCAGTCAGACCTATGTTCCTTTTTTGTTGTAAAACATCTTGAAAAATTTCAACACTATATACATTTTTGTTAATATTACGGTTTTAGTTGGACTCCAAAAACAGCTGTTCAGGACAGACCTGAACATGAAAATGAAAGGTTACTAAATTAATTTTACCAATAGTTATGCTAGAAAGAGAAGAAGTTACAGTCTCTTAGCATGCCTCATTTCTGACCTCATGGTTGCTGTATTTAAACGGCAAATTAAAGTGAGGGCCAGAATATATGTGAATATGTAGTGATTTAGCTAGGACCACAGTTACAGAATACGTGCCCGGCGAGCATATGCTAAATCAGATCAGCCAGGACAGAGAAACAAACTCACCAGGTTGAAAACAAGCCACAGAAGTTTCAGCCAAAAACGATGCAAATATGAGTAATTTGCTTCAAAAATGTACAAGCATTAACATACCGAGAAATGCATGGTATTCTATACAATTCTGGCAGCTATTAATACTTTCCACTCCCTCCCCAGATTGGCTGAAAAAGAGGCAGGTTAGGATCTGTGTCCGGATTGGCCGCAGGTTCCCTTTATGCCACTGCCTGCCAGAGGAGTTTCCCAAAACACAAAGAATGACAGACAGTGATTGGTTAGTTTAAAGGACCAATCCATTGCAGAGATGCTCATTAGGAGGACCCGGTCAATGTGGAAACAATGGTGCAGATCTGCTGATGAGTTATTGATTAACTCAAGTATCCAGTCCTGTGCGGGACAAAAGGTGTAAGACTCAAAGGACAAAGGTTCTGATCTTGGACAATCTAGGACTTGGCTGTCACTACTTTTTTTTGTCGTGTCAGGAGCAACTTGAGAAACTGCAAGTCGCTTCTGGTGTGAGAGAATTGGCCGTCTGCAAGGATGTTGCCCAGGGGATGCCTGGATGTTTTGACGCTTTATCATCCTTGTGGGAGGCTTCTCTCATGTCCCCACATGAGGAGCTGGAGCTGATAGAGGGAGCTCATCCGCGCTCTCCCTGGATTTGAAACTGTGACCTCTCACAGTCAGGAAGTTCTTCCTCATGTTCAGATGGAATCTCCTTTCTTGTAGTTTGAAGCCATTGTTCCATATCATGCCTCCCTCTGTACATTATCAGCATGTGTTAGCTATAGTGCTGCTGCCATTGTCTTTGAGGGATCTTCTATTAGTTTCACCTTCCATTTCTGCTGCTGCCCAGTTGCCATTTGGCACATTTAGTTTGGTTCCTCTGCAAAAGCCTATCAGACATGGGAGACCCTACAGTGAGCGACGGCATAATTTCTCGCACACAATGAGCACACAGTGCCACCACCGCAAAAAAAGTCGTGCCACCAGGAATAGATAACTAACTAAAAATAATCCTCCAGCCCACAGTTAGAATAAGTCCTATATCTTTAGAGCAGGATCCACTCCTGCATATATTCCTGTGCAGAAGGCGTTCTGCATGCAGGAGAGGGAAAGGAGAATGAATGCAGCAAGAGGCTGTGAGTCATCCTCTTCGTCAAATCATTTTTCAAACAAGGGAAGCTTAACAACCAAGGTCTATGTGTTTGGATGCTGCCCAGTGCCCACTCCTTTTGGAAATGGCCCCATTCAACTCAAGAGAACATGCTACATACCTTGTTGGGTTGCAATTCTCTCCTAGGGTTTTCTTGGCAAGATTTGTTCAGAGGACATTTGCCACATCTTTCCTCTCAGTCACTATGACTTTTTCAAGGTCACCCAGTGGGTTTTCGTGGATGAGCAGGGATTCGAAACTTGGTCTCAAGAGTCATAGTCCTGGACTTAAACCACCACACGCTGGCTCTTCAAGAGAGCTTACTTCTGAGTAAATATGCACAGGATTGGACTATTCAGTGGCATTTAGCTGTCACAACTGTTGTTCACAGAAAATGTAAGACAGCAAGGAATAGGTGTTCTGTTGTTTATTCATTCAGTCACTTTCAACTCTTCGTGACCTCCTGGACCAGACCAGACCAGAGCTCCCTCTTGGCCATGGCCACCCTCAAGCGCCTATTCAACTTGTATGCCGAACACATCATGCAACATGCAGGGATTGATGAATCCAAAGCTGGAGTTGAAAATGCTGGATGAAACATGAACAGCCTTAGATATGCAGATGATAGCATTTTGATGGCTGAAAGCGAGGAGGAGCTGAGGAGTCTTCTAACCAAGATGAAACAAAAAAGAGCAAAATCTGGGTTGCAATTAAACATTAAAAAAAACCAAGATTCTGGCAACCGGACTGATTGACAACTGACAAATAGAGGAAGAAAATATGGAGGCAGTGACAGACTTTGTATTTCTGGGTACAAAGATGACTCCAGATGCAGACTGCAGTCAGGAAATCAGAAGACGTCTCCTTCTTAGGAGGAGAGCAATGTCCAATCTCGATAAAATAGTGAACGGTAGAGACATCACTCTGGCAATGAAGGTCTATATAGTTAAAGCAATGGTATTCCCTGTAGTAACCTACGGATGTGAGAGCTGGACCATAAGGAAGGCTGAGCGAAGGAAGAGAGATGTTTTTGAACTGTGGTGTTGGAGGAAAATCCTGAGAGTGCCTTGGACCGTGAGAAGATCCAACCAGTCCATACTTCAGGAAATAAAGCCCGACTGCTCACTGGAGGGAAGGAAATTAGAGGCAAAGATGAAGTCCTTTGGCCACATCATGAGAAGACAGGAAAGCTTAGAGAAAACAATGATGCTGGGGAAAATGGAAGGAAAAAGGAAGAGGGGCTGACAAAGGACAAGGGGGCTGGAAGGTAAACCTGTACAATCTCTCCAATCCTCTGGGGAGGCCCTCCTTTCATCCCCATCTCCATCACAAGTATGGCTTGTGGGAACGAGGGAGAGAGCCTTCTCTGCTGTGGCCCCTTGGCTTTGGAACATGCTACCTAGTGAGATTAGGCAAGCCCCTACCCAGGCAGCTTTTAAGAAAGATCTAAAAACTTGGCTCTTGCCATGTGCCTTTGGCGAGTGAGCATATATCCCATTTCTGTCTGTTCCAACTACAGTTCTGTCCTCATGATGCACTCCCCCCACTAATGAAGATCTAACACACTTTCCCACTATTATCTCATCCAGGGTTTTATCCATTTTTATCCTGTGCATTTGGCTCACCCATTGTGTTCAAACACTTCATTATGTTATTTTGTAACTGTTTATTTCATTTTGTTAGGTAAAGGTCAAGGTTTTCCCCCGACATTAAGTCCAGTCGTGTCCGACTCTGGGGTGTGGCGCTCATTTCCATTGCTAAGCCAAAGAGCCGACGTTGTCCGTAAACACCTCCAAGTTCATGTGGCCAGCATGACTGCATGGAGCGCTGTTACCTTCCTGCCAGAGCAGTACCTATTGATCTACTCACATTTGCATGTCTTCAAACTGCTAGGTTGGCAGAAGCTGGGGCTGTAACCTTTCAGTCAACAAGCTCAGCAGCTCAGCGCTTTAACCCACTGCACCACCGGGGACTCCCGGATTACCCCATGCTTATTTTGATGCCTTTCTTCTGAAGGCGCTGGGGGTGGTGACGGCCAACAGGGAGCTCTGATGTCGGCTGGTCCATGAGGTCATGAAGAGTCAGAAGCAACTGAACGAATAAACAACAACAACAACTGTATTGTCGAAGGCTTTCATGGCCAGAATCACTGGATTGTTGTAGGTTTTTTCGGGCTATATGGCCATGTTCTAGAGGCATTTTCTCCTGACGTTTCGCTGATTGACCAGGGTGGGACAAAGGACTCTTGTCTGCTGGAGCTAGGTGTGAATGTTTCAACTGACCACCTTGATTAGCATTTGATTGCCTGGCAGTGCCTGGAGCAATCCTTTGTTGAGAGGTGATTAGATGTCCTTGTTTGTTTCTTCTCTGTTGTTGTGCTGTTCTAATTCTAGAGTTCTGAGGATGCTTGCGATAGATGCAGGTGAAAAGTCAGGAGAAATGCCTCTAGAACATGGCCATATAGCCCAAAAAAACCACCTTGATTAGCATTTAATTGCTTGGAAGTGCCTGGGGGGAATCTTTTGTTGAGAGTGATTTGATATGCCTGATTGTTTACTCTCTGTTGTTTTGCTGTTGTAATTTTTGAGTTTTTTAATAGTGGTAGCCAGATTTTGTTGAGAACACAGAAATGCTGGACCACTCTCACAACCACCATGTCAGACTACACAGAGAAGCCATTGAAATCCACAAGCATGTGGACAATTTCAACAGAAAGGAAGAAACCATGAAAATGAACAAAATCTGGCTACCAGTATTAAAAAACTCAAAAATTACAACAGCAAAACAACAGAGAGGAAACAATCAGGCACATCAAATCACTCTCAACAAAAGGATTCCCCCCAGGCACTTCCAAGCCATTAAATGCTAATCAAGGTGGTCAGTTGAAACATTCACACCTAGCTCCAGCAGACAAGAGTCCTTTGTCCCACCCTGGTCATTCCACAGATATATAAACCCTATTTTCCTAGTTCCAACAGACCTCACTACCTCTGAGGATGCTTGCCATAGATGCAGGCGAAACGTCAGGAGAAAATGCCTCTAGAACATGGACATATAGCCCGGAAAGACCTACAACAACCCAACAGAACAACTTCCTAGAGCAACATGACAATTTAAAATGGGTTGAATAGGCCTCCCTAATTCTGTTGTCAATCTTGACAGAGTAATGTGAATGGTCCCCAGGTTGCCACGGGTTTCAAGCATCTCTGCTCATGTGCCTGCAAAAACACAGGGACGTTGCCTGGTGTGGAAGATGAAGGCGTGCGAGAAACCCTTTTATAAATATGTCTCAAAGCCGGTGATGAAGGCAGGATCTCTCCCAAGGAGAAGGGGAAGTGGTCCAGCTCCTGCCCAGGCCAATCCCTGTGCTCTGTCTCTTTAAGAAGGCAGCGCAGAGAGAGAGAGAGAGAGAACCGCAAAGTACGCAGCTGCTGGCGCCTGGGCAGCCCTGTGCCCATCCCCTCCCATCAGCCCAGCCTCCTTTCCCACAAGGTTGCAGGGGAGCATCACGGGCTGAGCAATATGGAAGAAGACATTGGAGCAGGTGATGGGCATGGAGGCATGGATCTCTCCCTTCTCCTCTCCATCCCCAGCTGGGATGCTGGGCTCTTGTCTCTCTCTCCTTCTAATGTTATTTCCTCTGTCTTTCTTGGCTTGGTGACAGGACGCTGAACAGAGACCGCAGACTCTGCTGCACCTTCGGCCATTGGCCCAAAGCATCGCCAAAGAGAGGAGGACACCGGAGGGCTTCTCGGCATCATCCTTGCTGCCTGAGCTGTTCCAGGTGAGAAGGACCAAAGAGGGGGAAATACATCCTGCATCCCTCCTTGGAGGCAGGGATGCAGCTCTGGAGCAAATCAATGTGCTGAGTGAGGAGGCTCAAGCTGTGAAACCAGGGCATCTGGCTCAAGGGTTAAATAAGCATGACTCATATGCATTCCCTCCTCAGCCTCTTTGGCTTGGGAACTCAAAAGGTGAGGCGTGAAAGCTGGGCACATTCTGTGCAAGAGGGTGGTTTGTGGTACATGCATGCACAGTGTGTCCCTCCCCTTTGGATAAAAGCAGCCCCTCTTTGGGGATCAGACACACCCGGCTGCTCAAATGGCAAGCCGGCTTCTCTCTCTGCACCGGGTAGAGCAATTCTCTGCCAGGGAGCGGGCATCATTGCCATCTTCCGAAGGGGAGGACGAAACACAGAAATTAGGCCGGGCGTAGAGGGTGTGGACTGCCTCTTTCACTCCCTTGCCTCTCTGTTTTCCTCCCTCTACCAAGGTCATTGCTAGATTTCCTTTATAGTCTTTCCCTTTTTGGGTGAAACAAGATGGGTATAACATTGCCTGGTGTCGCATTTTGCTCCAGTCTCCAGAATGCTCCATTTTGTGCAAAAGAGACTCCCCGTTCTAGCTGGGCCTTGCCTGGAGGCAAAGGACTTTTCACCAGGTCAGACCCCACTCAGACTTCTTCTTGTTGTTTTGCTGGAATGGACTATTAGAATTGTCTATCTCTGTTGGCAGCAGTTGATCATTTGGGTCTGTGATTTCTTTAAATGTTTGCTTTCTAACTCCTTGTCTGAATGGAATATAGCAGTGTTTCTCAACCTTCCTAATGCCGCGACCCCTCAATACAGTTCCTCATGTTGTGATAGAATCACAACATGATTCTATCATGTAGAATCAAAGAGTCGGAAGAGACCTCATGGGCCATCCAGTCCAACCCCCTGCCAAGAAGCAGGAATATTGCATTCAAAGCACCCCTGACTTGGTCGGAGGCCCGAACAAAATCCCAAAGAAAGAACGAACAATACACAGCGCGCAGAGCCGTGGAATGGACGCAAAAGAGAGAAGGCGCAACGACAGAAGAAGGCGAAAAAGACTAGAACGAGACGCTCGCGAGAAAGCGATGAGCAGAGGTCCACGAATGGGGGAATTGATGTTGTCATTTGGGAGTTTTCGTTGCTGGGATGTATAGTTCACCTACCATCAAAGAGCATTCTGAATTCCACCAACAATGGAATTAAACCAAACTTGGCACACAGAACTCAACAGAAAATACTGAAAGGGTTTGGTGGGCATTGAGCTTGAGTTTGGAAGTTATAGTTCACCTACAACCAGAGAGCACTGTGGACTCAAACAATGATGGATCTGGACCAAACTTGGCACGAATACTCAATATGCCCAAATGTGAACACTGGTGGAGTTTGGGGAAAATAGATCTTGACATTTGGGAGTTGTAGTTGCTGGGATTTATAGTTCACTTCCAATCAAAGAGCATTCTGAACCTCACCTACAATAGAATATGCCCAAATGTGAACACTAGTGGAGTTTGGAGAAAACCAACCTTGACATTTGGGAGTTGTAGTTGCTCGGATTTATAGTTCACCTACAATCAAAGAGCATTCTGAACCTCACCAATGATAGAATTGGCCCAAACATCCCACACAAAACCCCCATGACCAACAGAAAATACTGTGTTTTCTGATGGTCTTTGGTGACCCCTCTGACACCCCCTCGCGACCCCTCCAGGGGTCCCTACCCCCAGGTTGAGAACCACTGATCTACCTAGAGTTTTTCAACTGGGAAAAAAGGAAAGCTGCATCTTTATATACCACCCTTCTCAGCTCGCAGGCCGCTCAAAGCAGTTCACAAGGCAACAATTCCATGCCTAACAACATCATAAAAACATTTAAAACATTGACATCTATATAAATAAAAATGTAATGTTCGTTTGTGGGATTAACATAACTCAGAAACCACTGGACGAATTGACACGAAATTTGGACACAATACACCTAACAGTCCAACGAGTGCTCATCACCCCTAAAAATACAAAAAAAACACCCCTCAGCAGAACAGACTTAAAAACCCCCAAAATACACCATATATATACACACACACACTCATATACATATACACATGCACACATACATGCACATACATATATATATACCCAAGCACACACATACACACAAGCGCAATACATATACACATGCACACATACATACACATATATAAACACAAATATGCATAAAGACAAGCACACACATATACACAATATACATATGCACTTATAAACACACAAATATATACACACATATATACACATCTACACACACATATGCACACACATATATACACCCACACATACCCCCCACACACATATCTATCTATCTATCTATCTATCTATCTATCTATCTATCTATCTATCTATCTACATAAACAAACACACATATATACACAGATACTCAAATATATACACACATATAAACACACACATATCTATATATACATACACACACACACAAAACACATATACAGACTGGGCCACAGCAACGCGTGGCAGGGGACGGCTAGTATAATATAAAACCATAAAATAATTCAACACAGACTTTGCTATATCTTGTGGGGTTTGGTTCCAGGGCCCCAAGGATGCTCAAAACCCATTATAGAGATAGCAGAAAGGTATTCCTTATATAGGTAAAGGTAAAGGTTGTCCGACTCTGGGGGTTGGTGCTCATCTCCATTTCTAAACCAAAGAGCCAGCTTTGTCTGTAGACACCTCCAAGGTCATGTGGCCAGCATGACTGCATGAGGCACATTCCCTTTCCGCTGCAGCGGTACCTATTGATATACTCACATTTGCATGTTTTCAAACTGCTAGGTTGGCAGAAGCTGAGGTTAACAGCGGGAGCTCACCCCGCTCCATGGATTAGAATCTCCAACCTTTTGGTCAGCAAGTTCAGCAGCTCAGTGGCTCTATATAAAATGGCAAAATCAAATTTTGCTTTTGTTGTTTTTCAAATATATATCTATTTCAAGTCATTTGCAAAAAATATTTTCAAATAATTAATTTGCAGGACAAAACTGACACACTATGCCAGGATATGCTGCCTTCGGTCCAGATAATGTTCCCCCAGTTTACTTTTTTTGCTCTTGAGTAACCCAGGGTGATTCTACACTGCAGAGTTAATCCAGTTTGACACCGCTTTAACTGCTTTGGCTCAATGCTATAGAATCATAGGAGTTGTAGCTTGTTGAGACAGTGGTACCCTTTGGCAGAAAAGGGTAAAGACCTTCTAAAACTACAACTCCCAGGATTCCATAGCATTGATCCATGGCAATTCAAGTGGTGTCAAACTGCATTGATTCTGCAGTGTAGATGCACCCGTATGTTCAGCGTTTATTGAAAGTTGGAGCAAGTGCAAATCTTATTTCTTTACTGTTATACAGTGTTCCCTCGCTACTTCACAGTTCACTTTTCGCGGACTTGCTGTTTTGCGGGTTTTTGCCTCCCAGTTTATGAATGGTTGCCATTGCCCAGAGTTACGAGCCACCGGTGGCACACTTGGTTAAACACTTGTACCGGCAGGACTGTAGACCGACAGGTTGCAGGTTCGAATCCGGGGAGAGCGTGGATGAGCTCCCTCTATCAGCTCCAGCTCTCATGCGGGGACATGAGAGAAGCCTCCCACAAGGATGGTAAAACATCAAAACATCCGGGTGTCCCCTGGGCAACATCCTTGCAGACGGCCAATTCTCTCACACCAGAAGCGACTTGCAGTTTCTCAAGTTGCTCCTGACATGACAAAAAAAAATTGAGATCTCATTCTATTTCCGCCTCCTTGCAACGATGGAGTGTGGAAGAGGGTTTCACCCTTGCCAATCAAGAGAGATTGCAAAGCAAATCAGAGATAGCTAGCAAAAAAAAATAGTGCATGGTGCTTTTAAATCTCTCCTCGCTTCTGTCTCACCCTCGGAACGCAATATGCATACTTTGCAGATTTTCACTTTTCGCAGGTGGTCCTGGAACATAACACCCACAATAAGTGAGGGAACTCTGTACTACTATTTATTCCACTTTATCTGCTAGACATTTGAGCTAAGAGGATGTCAGTGCACTCCTTCAGGTAGGAATACACAAGCACCCAAACTATCCATTAACTAATTTGTTTATGAAATTACCATATATACTCGAGTATAAGCCAACCCGAATATAAGTCGAGGCATCTAATTTTACCACAATAAACTGGGAAAGTGTATTGACTCGACTATAAGCCAAGGGTGGGAAATGCAAAATAAAAATAGATACCAATAAAATTACATTAATTGAGGCTTCAGTAGGTTAAATGCTTTTGGATATTTACATAAAACTGTAATTTAAGATAAGACTGTCCAACTCCGATTAAACCATCATTCTCACCTTCTTCCATGTAAATGTGCTCACCTATCCTTCCCATAATAATGAAGAGAGTAAAATAATATATGTAATAATAATAATAATAATAGAGAAAAATAATAAATGTAATATAAGCAATAATAAATAGACAGAGTAAAATAATAAATAATCTCGAATCGAGTATAAACTGGAGCTTTTTCAGCCTAAAAAGGGGGCTGAAAAACTAGGCTTATACTCGAGTATATACAGTAATCGCTGATCTGCAGCCAAGGGCCATTGTACAGTGCAAACCAGCATAAAGCCCAACAATAAAATGCAGTGACAGCATTTGTTTCCATAATTCAGAGTAAAGTATTTGGGAGAAGATGGAATGGTCTCTGTTCTTTGCTGAAATGTGGGTAAAAAGGTGATAAGGAAGACCAACTGTTGTGTCGCGCTGGGCCTGTAACAGCTGTACTTTTCTATAGGATGTATACTTTAAGCCCCGACAGGAAGCCAGGGGCGCCTCAAAGAGAGGTTCTCAGGGATTTTTCTGAAGTGATGGTCTTTAGAGTCTTTAATGATACAACAAAGTCTTTATTATGGAACAAACAACAAATCTTCAATGGTTCA